GTGTTCCTGCCCGCCTGAGTTAATCTCAACCTCGTGGGCGCGGCGGTCATGTGGTTCCTGGCCGGCTTCTCCCCTGTTTACCTCTGAAGCTGGTTTTATTCCACACTCGAGTTTATTTTGCTTTCCTGTTGGCCTTGTGCGAACTGACTCAAGCCTTGAGCGCAACGCCCGGTAGGCGGGATGGAGGTCTATGGCTCTGTTAAGTGTGCCAGTCGAAGACCAACTTGCCAGCAGCAATCTAGCCATTTTGTCATTGGTTCGGGCAAGGATCCTTACTTTGTCAAAGGCGAAGACGTGATTCTCCTGCTGTGTATGGTCATGGACCATAGACAGCTTATCCTTGCGGTTGATTGCCTGTTGATGCTCGTGCAATCTTGTGCCCAGGCGTCTGCCCATTTCACCAACATATCTTGCATCGCAGTCTTGGCATGGTATGCTGTAGACCACGCCTGATTGTTCTGTCAACGGTAGCGGGTCTTTGGGCCGCATTATTTGCTGCCTGATGGTTGACCGCGGCCTATGAGCCACACCGATTCCGAATGGTTTCAGGATTCTAGCAGCTGCCTCTGATACATTCTTCACATAAGGGATTGCGAGCCAAAACTTGGGGTCCTCTCCTTTCGACCGCTCAAGGTGGGGCCTCTTAAGACACTTGCGTACAAAGGACTTGGGATAACCGTTGGCCTTAAATAGAGCATGCAGGTACTTAATCTCCTCGTTTTTCCCACTTTCGTCGCTGCAGTGTGTCTGAACGCGTTGAAAGAGGGTTCTGACACAACTGCATTTGTGACACACGGGGTAGTTGCTTTTGAAATGGAGGATTCGCATGGTATTGGTTGCCTTGCGGTAGACCGTTGTCCTTATCTTCCCGTATTCCAGCTTCGTTACTTGTACGTCAAGGAAGGATAATTGATTTTTGACCTCCTCTTCGATGGTGAACTGGATAGATGGAATTCAGCAGTGCCTTACTTTACTTATGGAATTGGGATTTTTTCGTTGATCTACGATGTCCTTATACATTCAACTACATTTTTAAAGAACATAAGGGTTCAAGCATTTAAGAACCGAAAAAAATAAACCTTTCTCTATCATATAATTTTCGTGCTTACTTTCTGGAAATACGTTCGACTGAGAAATCAGTGGGAAACTGCATGCTACTTAAGTAACCATTTAATCTATTCTGGATTTTTCAGGCCGACGGAATGAAGCACACTTAAAGTGTGACGCACTAGCCTGATCTGAGTGTTTGCGATCACGCTGCACGCTAATTAGTATTATAACCTCACCCTAACAATCCTATGTAATCGGAAATAGGTTTCAGAATTTCTGTTAACCTTTCCTAGGAGTAGCCACCCTATGTAATTACTTCATTTATCGAGTTTTCGTCAACTAGGAGTTTCAAACCTTGCAGCTTGAGCAGTTACTTCCTTTCCTGATCGCTTTGGAACAGGAATTAGGCAATATTACTTTTACCAAATTGCGTTTGGAGCTACGTGTATATTGCCGAGGTTCCTAGTATTACCTTTTAAGCTTACACATAGAGGACATGCACAACTCAGCAGTCATGTGGAAATAAACAAACTTTGCCTGCATGTTATCGGTGTGACCTATGCTTGTTTGACCTATCTTGTTAGTAATCCACTGCTGGAGGTTAACTTTTTTAATGCAAGGCTGAGTTGTTTTAAATTTATGCCCACAAATAGTTTTAAGCAAAAGGAGAGGATGATAAGGGAGGCTGGAATGGCAATTTCTGGCTTATTCGCCATCATTAACCAGCCATACATAATTCCAAGCTTGCAGTCCTTTAGGTCCGAACTTGCCACGAATGGCAGTTCCGACCTCCTTTTTCCTTGTAGGTATGCTTCTATTATGCGACTGGCTATGGAACTCTAGATCTAGTCCCAGGGCACAAGAGGATGAGTATGGCTCCCAATGCAATCGGTGAGTGACCTCAAGTGTAGTCATATTTTAAGTTCGATATGATACTACTTCTGTGAACACGTTCACTGACACGGTGTTTTATTATCTCTTGGTTATCTTCGTGCAAATTTTATGGACCAGGATTGTCAAGCGTCTTCTGTTTATATTACCAGCCATGTTAATGAGCCAAATACATTTGGTAGTGAATTTGGCATTGAAAAATGCACAGAAACAGTGGATGCTTTTCATGTGATTCTACAAAAAAGGTCAAGTGGTATATTCCCGAAGGCTTGATCATTGAGACGAGGAGGTACAGAGACATCTTTTTTTTTACTTTTAGGGCCAATTTTCGAAATGTGAACGCTGGTTACACATAAGTCCTTCTTATAGAATATATATATATATGTTCACGGTATCTGAATAGAGCACCCTAACTTTAGTTTAGACATTTTGCGTTAGAGCTCCCATTCACTCTTGCCTACGAAGGTTCAATTAACTGGAGAAACGCAAACTGGAATGCTTCAGTGTTGACGAAAAAATACTGACTAGAACCGATTTTTTGCCCGTGGCCCCGCGAATTATCTCGCATACTGCAGAGCCCTATTTTACCCCAAGAACTACCGTAGGTGACCCATCGGGCTCCATCCGCATGACTTTAAAATTATCCTTCTCTGAAGATAATTTGATAATGATACGTAGTCACACCTTCTATGGTGTCTGCAATTATCAGCCTTAAAAGTGGCTTGCCCGTGAGACCATGAGGAATACGCACGACGTGACAACAGCTATTTAGGGGAGGAATCGGAACCGGGGCCTTCCGTATCCGGCCGAGGGTTGGAGGGGCATATAAGCGATCCCAACCGCAATTTCCAACGGTGTTTTTGCTATTATAATTGTAATGGTTCCTGTGAGTATAAATGCTATTCAAAATTGTGATTAATTAAATTCGCTTTTGCAGTCAAATTAATCATTGCATTTTGGTAGAAACAGTTCCAGGTGAGAGGGTTAAATAACTCAATAATAGGAATAGGTGGATAGAGTCACGGGTTGGATGGCACAGGAATAGATACCCTTCACGTTATCAATTCACACTTACGCTAACTTCCAGGAAGGTCACTTATGTCCATTTTCTAACCCGCATACAATCACGAGCACTAACCCTGCTTTGGCCTTTACTCTCTTGACCCTAAAAGGGTTTCTGCCATGGCAGCGGGTCTTTTGTATCATAAGCTGAGTCGTTTATCGTATCAGATGCACATATGGGCAAAGCATCTACGTGGGAGAAAGTTGAAAGCCGCTCCGGACCGAACTGCCGAACATGTGACAGCAGTGTGGATAAATGACGCTAATTCTCCAGTCGCAGCTCTTTCGATGAGACCCAGCCATACATTCAGCTTCAATGAGGCCGAAATTCTGGCAGGAGCTGACAAGCGCGTGAGCTTAAGTTGTAGATCACGCCCCCAACTTACGAACAAGTGCAATTACCTCCTCAACGCATTTTCGGTGCCGAGACTCAGTTTGGCCAAAGCAATTAACGACTCAGGGACGCGCGCAGGTGAACATATTAACGTCAGCGTTCTTCCCCAGAAGCCAACCTGTAAATCCCCCATATATTACGCATTGTCTGGCACTAGTGATTGTTAGCATCTCTCAATTAATCGGCACATTTCTTTGAGAGGGAGATACG